GGTGGTTGACTAATCAGAACGAGTGGCCGAGCTGACCAATCGGAGCACACTAGGCTCACAGGGAGGGGGGGGCAAGAGCTCCAACGAGTCGTTTAGTGGAGAAAGTGAATACTGCTGAATACACATGCTTGACAGAGATGCTGTATGCGAAACCAATGTGAGTTTGGAAAATTGCACAGTATAAATCTATTTTAGTATACCTCAACAATGTAATTATGATCAGTGGAAATGGCCATGACATGGGCCCTTTAAGTAATTCCTCCCCCTACTGGCCATTTGATTATATGTAAACAGTAAAGGCTGTACAGTCCCTGGCGCCTTTTCAGAGGCTTTTGGTTTACTCAATTATTTGTCATGTTCCAATGTCTTGACACTAGCATTTTAAATATATCTAAAGTCTGACTTGTCCTGTCAAAAGAGGTCAAATATGTATTAATTAACAGTTCGCCCAGGATATAACTGACCTACAATCTGATTTATTTGCAGGTAAACCAGTGCCACTATTTGACAAAAATCATCCTGACTGGGCACCGTCTGTCAAATTGGGCCACGAGAGAATTACAGCACCTTCCCCTGCTACACATGCCAGGTATAAACGCGCCAGAAAAAGGTCATCCATCGCACTACTTGATCTCTACAGCATGGTATCTGATATACCATCTCTAGAAGCGGAGCCCGCACCAGTCCTGGGAGCCACTGGGGAAGAAGAAGGACTGATTGAACCAGAGACTGGCACTGCAACTCAGACTGGTGAAATGATTGCCAAAATGTCATTTGAAATTAATAATGTAACAACAGAAAATGTTAATTTAAAAGAAAAGCTTGTGAAGTCCACCATTTCAGAGAGTACATTTAAGGGCGATGATGACCGTGTGCGGTTCTACACAGGACTTCGTACTTTTGCCATTCTAATGATGATATACAATCTTGTGGCACTGCACATCAGTGTGAACGCCAAGAGTTCACTGTCTAAATTCCAACAATTTATACTGACACTAATGAAATTAAGATTAAACCAACTCCTGCAAGAGCTGGCTTATAAATTCAACACATCCACGTCTACAGTATCCCGTGTGTTTACCTTGATTATCGACGTCATGTTCAAACGTATGAGTTTCCTTTTGAAGCGGCCATCACGGAGGAACTCCAACTGACAATGCCTATGGATTTCCGCACACATTTTGGTACTAAAGTGGCTGTTATAATAGACTGCTTTGAAGTTTTCATTGACAGGCCATCAAATGTAATGGCACGGGCTCAGACTTGGTCAAACTACAAACATCACAACACCATAACATGTCTGATAGGAATCTGTCCGCAGGGTGTTATATCATTAATTTCAAGGGCATGGGGTTGCAGGTCCAGCGATAAGCATATTACAGAAAATGGTGGCTTCTTAGATAACATTTTGCCTGGTGATTTGATTTTGGCAGACCGAGGTTTCAATATAAGTGACTCAGTGGGTTTCATGTGTGCTGAGGTTAAGGTGCCTGCATTCATGAAAGAACAATTATCAATGAAAGATGTTATTGACACAAGGAAAATTGCTAACGTGCAAATTCATGTTGAGCGTGTCATAGGATGTGTAAGGCAGCGATAAACCATTTTGGGAGGTCCAATTCCTATAGATTTTTTACTTTCTAAAGATGTAGATGGGATAACATTGATGGATACAATAGCTGAAGTGTGCTGTGACCTGAATAATTTCTGTGATACTGTAATACCCGTTGATTAACCCTTTACATTCTGTTACACCCCAATCAACCCATATCAGATTTAAAAATATTACATGTTTGTATTATAATTATTATTGTATTATTGTCAATGTTGTACTTGGTAAATTACATTTCTTGATAATCAGAGCAGTGATTTGGGGTTTGGTTGTGTAGGGGAATGTTTGAAAAATTATTTAAGCTGTTTTCAGGCATGGAAGGTTAATATGTTTTTCTCTCAAGTTTTATATTGTCGGATTGGACACACAAATCGCTTGAATGTGGTTTCAGACCTGCACTGCGCACTGTAATAGTACTGGTAGAGGGGGTAGATACCTTGTTTGATAAATACACAAATAACAATGCAAACTTACAGGTTGTGTACCCGAATCTTCCCCTGCTTCAAACGGTCCAAACAAACTAGGAATAGCATCGTCCTTCAGTTTCAAATGCTGTGCATATCCGGCTTCAAACTGGGCAATGTTTTTGGAAGCTTTCGTCTGTGAAATGCCGTGCACACAGTAACGTTCTTCGAACCTCTGAAGGAACAGTGTTAAACAGAAATTTCAACCACTGACTTCGTCGTGGTTCTTCCGTCGGTAGGACAAACAGCTCAGATTTCTCCTCACATTTCAGGAAACAGGTCCTTGGCATTGGCATGACTGGATCGATTGTGAACTGAACCAGAGCTTCCAACAGTAAATGTCAAATGGACAGTGACGTATCTCCAACGAGGCGTTTTGGGGAGGCGTCTGTGTTAGAGTTTTACTCGCTACAGGGTGTACTTTGAGGGTTTTAACTCTGCACACCGTTTACATGCATAAAAACCTTCATAACACAAGGGGACGGGTAATAACCGGAAAAGCATGACACCTCTCCTTTAACTAACTACTACCGGAAGTAAACAAAGATGTGCAACGGGAAGGTGTTCCCACAGGAAACAAAACTTAAAATATTAAATGAAACAATCTCATCTCTTAAAATTCACAACTTATTATGAATGAAACATTCACAAACTTATAATTATGTATTCACATGTTTAACTCTGTTACATATGCACGCAACGAACAGAAGAGCGTAGGGCAGAATTAGGAGGGAATTCCGTCTCGTAGCGTTTGTGCACTGTTTTGAAATGCCTCTCTAAATTACCCTTCTTCGATAAAGCCACACTCGCATTGCAGATGAGACAGATGGACTTTGAATTGGAATAAACAAAAAAATAATCATCCTCCCACTCGGAGTGAAAATTATATATTTTGGGCTTTTTTGCTTCTGCCATAATTGCGGTCTTGTGTGTGTGCGGACTGTGACTCCTGTTGCCACGGACAACGTCAGCGAACTAGTGCCCACTGCCCACCAGCCATGCCCCGACACATGGGGTCACGCCATCACAAAGCTTTGATGCGTTCAAGTGCATTATTCTGGCACAGGAAGATTATGTTATAGGACATTAACGATAAAACTGAATGTTGTTGTTCTATTTTTAGACACATCTCGCGATCGACTGGTTGGGCATCCCTGCCTTAGACTCTTTTTTGCTGTCTCAGCCATCTGACGCTCTATTTGATACCATTTTCATATTTCTGGAGTAATTATACAGTTTTTGATTAGAAGGGGTTGGACCCCCTTTTTGCCTTCAGAACTGCCTTAATTCTTTGTGGCATAGACTCAACAAGATGCTGGAAACACTCCTCAGAGATTTTGGCAGGTCTGTCGGCTGATTCCAATCTCTCTTTCCACCACATCCCAAAGGGGCTCTATAGGATTTAGATCAGGTGACTGTGGCCATTGGAGAACAGTGAACTCATTGCCATGTTCAAGAAACCAGTTGGAGATTATTAGAGCTTTGTGACATGGGGCGTTATCCTGCTGGAAGTAGCATCAGAAGATGGGTACACTGTGGTCATAAAGGGATGGACATGGTCAGAAACAACACTCAGGTAGGCTGTGGCGTTTAGACGATGATCAATTGGTAGTAAGCGACCCAAAGTATGCCAAGAAAATATCCCCCCCACCGTTACACCACCACCACCAGCCTGAACCGTTGATACAAGGCAGGATGGATCCATGCACTCATGTTGTCTTCTGACCCTACCGCCTGAATGTCGCAGCAGAAATGGTCTTCTGCATACCTTTGTTGTAAGAAGTGGTTATTTGAGTTACTGTTGCCTTTCTATCATCTGACATTTTTCAGAAAAAAAGTCAGAATTTGAGAAAATTTGTCAGAATTTTAAATTTTAGGAAAAAGTCAAAATGTTGAGGTTATCTGACAAATTCAGCATTTTAGAAAAAGTCAGGATTTGGACAAAGAAGTTATGAGATTTTTGAAAAAAAACTTTTATGTTTTTTGGAAAAAGTCAGGATGCTGAGAAACAAAGTCAGAATGTTCAGATTTTCTCCAGCATTTTAGAAAATGATGGACACTGGGGACAGAAGGTGAGGGGGTAACAGCTACCAGGAAGAGAGTGGAGCCTGATGGGGACACTGGGGACAGAAGGTGAGGGGGTAAGAGCTACCAGGAAGAGAGTGGAGCCTGATGGGGACACTGGGGACAGAAGGTGAGGGGGGTAACAGCTACCAGAAGAGAGTGGAGCCTGATGGGGACACTGGGGACAGAAGGTGAGGGGGTAAGAGCTACCAGGAAGAGAGTGGAGCCTGATGGGGACACTGGGGACAGGAGGTGAGGGGGTAAGAGCTACCAGGAAGAGAGTGGAGCCTGATGGGGACACTGGGGACAGAAGGTGAGGGAGTAAGAGCTACCAGGAAGAGAGTGGAGCCTGATGGGGACACTGGGGACAGGAGGTGAGGGGGTAAGAGCTACCAGGAAGAGAGTGGAGCCTGATGGGGACACTGGGGACAGAAGGTGAGGGGGTAACAGCTACCAGGAAGAGAATGGAGCCTGATGGGGACACTGGGGACAGAAGGTGAGGGGGTAACAGCTACCAGGAAGAGAGTGGAGCCTGATGGGGACACTGGGGACAGAAGGTGAGGGGGTAACAGCTACCAGGAAGAGAGTGGAGCCTGATGGGGACACTGGGGACAGAAGGTGAGGGGGTAACAGCTACCAGGAAGGCCATTCTTAAGTATTTAAATGAAACAGGATTGATTGGAAGAATTTAAAACAACGTAAATACAGTGGTATAATTCCACAAGTGGTGATAGGATGATATGGTGATACACACTCTTGTACAGTAGGTGGCGGTATGCACCTTAAAGTTGTTTGCAATCCGCCAATAAATCGAGAGAAGAAGTGATGGTCCTGCTGTTCTAACTGGGAACCAGATCGCGTCTCGTAGGTTCTCTCTCTACATCCATGGTTCTCTCTCTACATCCATGGTTCTCTCTCGGTGTTCCTGAGACAGTGTGTGTGAGCAGCTGATCCATCGTCTGTGTGTCTGGATGAACCTCTGACTTTGTGCTCTTTCTTCTGAAGCCTTTAGCTCGGACTCTAGAAGCTAGCTTAGCATGATAGCTTAGCATGCTAGCTGGTAACACGCTAGCAACACAGAGTGTGTTTAACAGGAAGTGGTGATTTAGTAAACATGAGTGTTGTGCTGCTCTCGTTGGTGAAGCAGCGACTCACTGCGGCTGCTGAAGACATCTTTGTTCTGTTTGAAAGAACGATAGCAGAGTACGAGGAGGAACTGTCTCGTTCAAAACAGGAGAACGAGAGACACCGGAAACTACTGGACGCTGTTTTACAGCCTCAGCTTCAGATCCACAGAGCAGGTCTGTTCCCTCTTTCTAACTCTTTAGACCTTGTATTAACTCGTTAGACTCTTAATTGCTCGTCTGACGCTCTATTTGACACCATTTTCATATTTCTGGAGTAATTATACCGTTTTTTGATGAACATAAATATTGTTTTTCTGGCATCACTTTAACATTTTATGGGGAAAATCTGCATTTTGGTATCAGGACGTTGAGAGTAAGAGGGTGCAGCGCCCCTGTTACTCAGTTTAGAGAAAACCCTGTGTGATGGAAACTTCTGAAGCCATTGGAAACAGGACTCAGAGAGACACGGGGAGAGCTGGAGCTTTGATGGCAAACACTGACTGTTTATTTGGAGCTTCGGCCGGAGAATTCACAAGACGTGTCACGAGCCATGAGTTGACACAACGGATTCCTAACCAATTCTGAGGATCTCTACCCAGACCCATGTATTTAGCTGATTCTGAGAGAATAATCAACATTGTGCATAACAAGATAAAACCATAACACCTCTATCAGCTGACGCCAACAGGCAGGAACAGGGAGACAACACACTGAGAGCACAGCAGCCAAGCTACAGGTGCCTGTGCTCAGTGAGGTCAGTACAAACTGATACACTGGCTCACAGTTATGGGCCTAGGAACATATTTTCCCAACAGTTCCTCCCTTTTTATCAATTTTGATAAACAAAACCTACCCCAATAATACATTTGTTCAAATCACTAATAAATGAGATTCTTCGGAAAGGGCGTTGGCATTTTGCTAATTTAGCAGACAAACATATTAATAAAACTTTTCAGATTGAAACAGTCAATCACAATCCTAAAAAGTATCTTCCATCAGTGTTATGGAGCATCTTTAAACTTTAATTCATACATTTGTAAATGCTACAACTGATCTGTACGGAGCCCCTACGGACACGGAAAAAAAAGTCGGGATAACGGGTTAGTTTCTCGTGCGCACGAAAAAATGGGTACTAGTCGAGGGCCGGACTGGTTCAATGTTTATTGCAAAACTTATTGAAATGAACTTATTACACATATTAAACCTGGAACTAACAAAGCTTAAATGATTGCCTATAAAAACAACATGAAACATTAAATAATCAGTTGCATTCATTTCTTATGGCTCTATCTGCAGCTCTGTGATGCTAGCTCAAGCCAGATACTTGACATCTCATCTTGGGTGCAAGGTCATCAATGTTTGGGGTCAGGCTCTGAGCTGAGGAGACCCTCCGGATTGAGTGAAGGTGTGCGTGCAATATACCGGCGGGCCAGATCTAATAGTAATTAAAAATTATCCTGCGGGCCGAAATAAAATCCACCAAGGGCCTGATTTGGCCCCCGGGCCTTGAGTTTGACACACGTGCTTTAGGGGCTCCGTAGATCTGTACCAAATTAACTCAAATAATTATTCCTATTAGCCATACTTGCCTGAAAATGTGTGTGTGTGTGTGTTTTGAGAAACAATTGGTTGCTTTGGAAGGAAGCCCGACTGGAGAATTTAAAATAAATCAAAACCACTGTAAGCGTGCTCCAAAGGGGGCAGCCCTCCTCTAACAGACCTGAAACAGAGGGATATGAGGGATGTCTAAATTGCATGATATGTTGGTATTTTGAGCAAAACACATCATAGACATGTTTTTAATATATTTGTATGGTAACACTTTATATCCTCCAACCTTTTTTAGGATGAGAGCTACTTTTACTTACTTTTACATTATTATATGCTGACCTTTAACCTTTGTGTGCTGTTTGGGTCTGTGGGACCCGTTTTCAGTGTTTACTAAAAGAAAATGTATGCAATTTAATTATTTGAACCTGATTTATTTCGGCGGGACCTCACCTCCTCTTGGGGGGTCTGGGGGCATGCACTATCGGGAAGTTAAATTAAGTTAAATGCATCAATCTGGTGCACTTTGAGCACAAAATGAATTTATGGATACAGCTCTCAACATTTTTACTGTCCTATAGTACACATTGGAATGATTTCTTACTTTATTTTGTACAACTATATTAAATAGATAAAGGTGTGCTCTCTCTCTCTCTCTGTCTCGCTCGCTCACAGAGGCTGTGTGCTCCTCCGTGGCGATGACGGCTTGCGTTAAAAAATAATAATAAACATATTTCTAAAGTGGGGGGACACAAACGGGATTTCGAAAAGTGGGGGGGACATGTCAATCACGGTCAAACTCCTTATGAAGCGGTGAGGTGCTGCTCCACATTGCTTTTCTACCCGACTGCAACGCTGGTCCCGGCAGTGGCTCAGTCAGTAGGGGCTTGGACTGTGAGCCGTAGGGTCGCCGGTTCAAGTCCCCGACCAGACCTAAATATGGAGTGTGGACTGCTACCAGTTCACCTCCTGCCCTGCCGTGGTGCCCTTGAGCAAGGCACCGGACAACCCACTTCCCTCCTCACTTCCCCAATGCTCCTAGTACTAGACTCCTGGTACTAGGATTGGTTAAAAGCAGAGATCACATTTCACTGTGTGCTGTGTGCTCTGCATGTGTGACCATTAAAGAGGGGTTCATCCCTCCCAATTCTAATTCTAATTCGAAATCAAGCAAGAACGTGATTGGTCGATATTCATTGTGGGGGAGGAGGGGTGTTAGATAGATATAGAGTTGTAGTAAGTAGATAGAGTTCACTATGATTGAGGTTTCGTTTATGCATAGGGTAGATAATTTTAATTACATTTCCTTTTTATTTATTTATTTTATTTATTTTATTTATTTTATTTATTTTATTTATTTTATTTATTTTATTTATTTTATTTATTTTATTTATTTTATTTATTTTTATTTATTTTATTTTATTTATTTATTTATTATTTTTTAAATTATTTTTATTATTTATTCTTATTTGCTTGGCGAGCTACCGGTGTTCGACGTGTTGGAGACCCCTGCTTTATATTAAGGTACACAAATTCACCATCAACTAGTTGTTAATTAACATGCATATTAGCAGTATATTGGCTCTTTATTAGTCATTATAAAACACTTATTAGTGTCTTATTCTACATGACCATATTCTACAAGTAATAAGCCATTAGTTGAGAGTTTTTCCTCAATAACCCTCTAATTAGTGCTGATTTATTGCAAGTAAGGAAGTTTTGGTCTTAATATGCTCTGCTCAATATGGACCTAATAAGGCAGTAGGACCACAAGAATAGTTATTCTTCCATAATAACACTTAACAAATATGATCTATTCTTATGTAACAAGACAGTGTTAATTGTGTCTGAATAACTCAAAATGAGGTATTTCTATCTATCAATCAATCAATCAATCAATCAATGTTTATTTATATAGCCCAATATCACAAATGTTACATTTGTCTCAGTGGACTTCACAGTTTGTACAGAATATCAGTATGACAATACAACACCCTCTGTCCTTAGACCCTCACATCGTACAAGGAAACACTTAAAAAAAAAAGGAGAAACCCCACAGTTTAAAGGGGAACATGGGAGAAACCTCAGGGAGAGCAACAGAGGAGGGATCCCTCTCCCAGGACGGACAGACGTGCAATAGATGCCGTTTTTTCAGACGCCTACCCATGTGGGTCCGTGATCGGCACGGGGTGGGCCCCTGCTGAAAAGGAAAACCCCCCCGCATGACTTGATACGCCCCCTTGATAAATACATTTAATTATAATGAAACCAGCTGCAATGGATCATGGATCCACCAGGGGGAGCAGTGACTAAAAAGCTGCCACACTGGAACTACAAAACAGCTGATCGATCTACAGGTATCTGATATAGCAGATATTTGTTAAGATCCATATGTTACGGATAGGATCATATTCTGTGCTAAATAAGAGACATGTAATCATTTACAAAACATCACCATGTTTTTATTTCACAAAATAATGTTGTTTAATCCACGTTGGCGTAAGTACAAAACCATCGCTATGTTTTTTCATCAGGAAATGCAGACCGGCTCAAACAAACTATTTGTAATCATCATCCTCACAATCATTTAATGTATCATATGTTCGCCAAATTGACATGAAAGCACTAATAAATGTGGTTTAATCCACGTGAGTTTACAACTACAAAAATAATCGATTTGTTTTTATATCACTTCCGATGGGAGGAAATGCAGCACGGCTCTCACTACCGATTTGTAATCCTAATTTAATCATCATCTTCACCACGATCATTTATGTTTATGTTCGCCGAATTGACATGAAAGCACTGACAAATATGAATATTCTGTATTCAACTTCATTAAAACGTTATTAACGTGCCTAAACTCAGTAATTAATTTTACTTTAAAATGTTCAAAAAAATCTTCCCGAGGGGCAGACCCCCGGACCCCCCTAGAGGATGTGACGTCCACCCTCCAATTCAAACATGTTCATACAATACTGAATACATCTTTTGTAGAGATTTTTCATTTATTCTTTATAAAATCTCGCCTAGGGCAGCAAATTGTCTAGAACCGGCCCTGGTACTAGGCCTCAAGAGCCTTTCTTATGCTGGCAGACACATAGAAACAAATTGGCGGGGCGCACTTCGCACGCGCACACACTAAAAAATTCCACGCGCTCCGCACTCACATTATGCCTTAGCACCGCTGCTATGACTCCATCCTAGGGGAAACACTGATAATGTGAACAAAATAGGTCCAAGCACTGAGCCCTGTGGCACTCCATGGCTCACTTTGGTTTGCATGGAAGATTCATCGTTGACACGTACAAACTGAGAGCGTTCAGGTAGATAGGACCTAAACCAGCCTAAAGCAGTATGCCAACTAAGTGCTCTAGTCTTTGCAATAAGATGTCATGGTCGATAGTATCAAATGCAGCACTGAGATCGAGCAAGACAAGAATAGAGACAAGTCCTTGAGGCTATTAGAAGGTCATTTGTGACTTTAACCAGAGCGGTTTCTGTGCTATGATGTGTTCTAAAGCCAGACTGAACATTTTCAAATAAATCATTGTTTTTTAAGTAATCACACAACTGTTTTGCGACTGCTTTCTCAAGAATGTTTGAGAGGAACGGAAGATTAGAAATAGGTCTATAATTGGCTAAAACCTCTGGATCTATCTAATAATATGTTCCCTATTTTAAAGTGAAGTCTTGTTCATTACCAATAAGCTAGTAGTTTGACTCTAATTGACCTGAACAGGTTCCCTATTCTAAAGTTGCCTCCTCTTCACACTTTGTAAATACATTATAGCACACACCTACTGAAATGAACCTCAACAGTACATGAACAAAGTAGGCACACGTTGAAATATCTGTTTTATTAATGAACCACTAAAGAGAGGTTCAGACACATACATACATGTCAAGTTTCTCCAAGGCTGAGAACACATATATATATATATATATATAGCCTGTACTTTTTAATACAAACAGATTTAACAGGCCATAATATAGACATTTCTGAAAAATACTTCAAAGTTTCAAAATTCTAAGTCAGCAATTTGGAGAAAAACGTGATTAATCTGAGTTTTCCAGAAAAAAGTCGTAATTCTGAAAAACAAAGTCAGAATGTTGAGATGTTCTTAAAAATTCAGCATTTTAGAAAAAGTTAAAATGTTGGGGAAAAGTCAGAATTTTGTGAATATTATTGTAGAGATTCTATTTATTGTCGAGAGGAAGATGAGGCACACGAGACCCAACGAGCTGAAGGCCGCTAGTGAAGCAACCTTTCTTTTTCACATTTCTTTCACATCCGGTGAAACTGGTGGCACGGCACTGCTGCGACCCGGGCTCCTGTCGTGTGCTGCAGTTTTTATGTTTTTATGTCTGGTTAAACATTTCGTCCTTAATTTAAACCACACGCTTTAATCAAGAGACTGTGTGTTGGAACAATGACGACCCTTGCAAAACTTTTACTGGCACTTTTTATCCTTGAACCTTTTCAACCATGCCAAACATTACGGGGAGAAAACAACTTGGCCCTGTCATACACCAGAGACGCAAGCTTCCCAACCCCCGACCTGCCGGAGGACATGCGATCTCAAATCACTGACTGTGTTCACCAGCAGCTACTACACACTCCTGACATGCCGGTTTTTATTTTAGGGGACTTTAATCATTGCAAACTTGAACTGTCACTACCCGGTTTTCAACAATACGTTACATGTGAGACCCGGGAGGATACAATTCTAGACAAATGTTACGGAAATCTGAACAACGCATATGTGAGTAAAGCCAAACCCCCGCTTTCCAACTTGGATCATAACACTGTTTATCTAATACCTACCTACAAAACGGTTCTCAAGCGTAGTAAACCACAGACCAAGACTGTAAAGGTTTGGACTAGTGACAGCATAGAGTCTCTTAAAGGATATTTTCTCTCTACTGAGTGGAGTATCTTTCATGAGATGGACGTGGATAATGCTACTGAGACGGTAACTGACTATAAAATTCTGAGTTGACAATGTGATACCTCAAAGAAATAACTGTGTACCCCAACAACAAACCATACATAACTAAAGAGGTTAAGGACTGCATCAATCGTAAAAATATAGCTTTTAAAAACCGGGATAAAACGCAACTGAAATGTGTGCAAAATGAGCTTAACCACATGCTCAGAGAAGCTAGAAGGAGACGTAAAGAAATGATTGAACAGAACTTTTCTCCGCCCTCTATGGTAGAGGCAGAGCTGGAATATGACGGGGGATCAACACCAATCTCCCGGGGGGAGGTCACTGATGTAGTCAAGCAACTCCACAGTCGCAAAGCCCCGGGGGTGGATGAGATGCTGAAGGCTCTGGGTGTTGAGGGACTGTCATGGTTGACACGTCTCATCAACATTGCGTGGAAGTCGGAAATAGTACCGAAGGAGTGGCAGACCGGGGTGGTGGTTCCCCTCAGAGGGTGTGTGCCAATTATAGACTACAAGTACTGTTTTTCTTTTTAGACGGACACAATAATTTAATTTTCTTTACTATGTTCAATCTGCATTTACTTTAAAATAAAAAACATCTATATTGATTCTGACTTTTCTACATCCAACTCACAGGTTTATCATTACTTTGAGAAAAAAGATTATTAATTTACCCCTTTTAGAAGGGAAGATACGATCATTTGTTCTGGGAATGTCATTTTCGAGCCTGAGACCTGAAAAACAGGCTCAGGGCTAAACAGGTTAATGCACAAAGGCAGCAGTTCATCGGCTTACACTCTGAAATAGAGAGATTTGTGCCGCATTGATGCAGTTATTCATGCTAAAGGAGGTCCAACCAAGTACTGAATGCAGACACATTAACATGCTTTTCAGAAGGACAGCATTTCTATATTAAAAAATCTCTTTTGTATTGGTCTTATGTATTATTAAAATGTTCTGGGATGCTGAATTTTGGCTTTCATTTAATCATCAAGATTAAAACAAATAAACGCTGGAAATAATCCCTTTGTATCTGATGAATCTATGTGATGTATGAGTTTAAACTTTATAAATTGAATTACTGATATTAACTCACTTTTCCATGATATCCAATTTATTGAGATGCACCTGTATGAGTCCAAGTACAGGTTTAGCAAGGCGGTGAGAGATGCTAAACGACTACTCTGAGAAACTCCAACACCAGTTCTCAGCTAACGACTCTGCAGACAGGTCACAAACTGTAAGGCTAAGGCCTCACACTCCGTGAACGGCCGACGCCTTGCTAAGCGGCAGTGCAACTACGTTTTAGATCAGCTACCGTACTAACTCACCTGTTGTCCTGAAACTCTCCAGGGCATCTGGAAAAGCATTTAAAATATGGATTGGATAAGGGCTGCAAAGTTAATGAAGTGTTACTCGTGGTAAGATTTTAAATTCTAGTACTCTACAGTTTCTCTGAATATGTGTTTCCTGTTTCCTGCAGACGTCCAGCAGCTGGTGGTGGTTAAAGAAGAGGTTCCCCCTGAGCAGCAGGAGTGGAGCTCCAGTCTGGACCAGGAGGACCCAGAGCCCCCCCCACACATTAAAGAGGAACAGGAGGAACTCTGGAGCAGTCAGGAGGGAGAGCAGCTTCAAGGGCTGGAGGAGGCTGATATCACCAAGTCCACATTCACTCCTGTCCCTGTGAAGAGTGAAGATGATGAAGAGAAACCTCAGTCCTCTCAGCTTCATCAAAGACAAACTGAACACCTGGAAACAGAAGCTGATGGAGAGGACTGTGGAGGACCAGAACCAGCCAGGAACTCAGATCCAGAGAGACATTTACAACCTGAGACTGAGGACAACCCTGGAGACTCTTCTGAACCTGACACTGAAAACAGTGGAGATTGGAAGGAGACCAGAGAACCAGGTTCAAACTCTCAGAGAAATAAACAAGACCCTGTCAGTGATTCAACATGTAGTGCAGGAGAGAAAACATTTGGCTGCTCTTTTTGTGAGAAAACATTTACACAGAGAGGAAATTTAAATCGGCACATGAGAATCCACACAGGAGAGAAACCATTTAGCTGCTCAGTCTGTGAGAAATCCTTTCTTAATAGAGGACATTTAAATCGGCACATGAGAATCCACACAGGAGTGAAACCATTTAGCTGCTCAGTCTGTGAGAAATCCTTTCTTGATAAAGGACATTTAAATCGGCACATGAGAATCCACACAAGAAAAAAAACATTCAGCTGCTCAGTCTGTGAGAAATCCTTTCTTGATAAAGGACATTTAAATCGGCACATGAGAATCCACACAGGAGAGAAACCATTCAGCTGCAGTGTTTGTGACAAAAGATTCACCTGGAGTCATCATATCAAATTCCATAAGTGTGTTGGTCGTCAGTCCTCACAGCTTCATCAAACTCAAACTGAGGAGAACAGAGAGGCAGAGCCTCCAGCCAGCAGCTCAGCTGAACACCTGGAAACAGAAGCTGATGGAGAGGACTGTGGAGGATCAGAACCAGCCAGGAACTCAGATCTAGAGAGACATTTACAACCAGAGACTGAGGACAACCCTGGAGACTCTTCTGAACCTGACACTGGAGACAGTGATTATTGTTAGGTTTAAACTCTTTGAGTTAGTCCCAGTAAGTGTGTATAACGTGATACCTGCTCTGAGTGTGATAAAACATCATTGCTCTAAGTCAAGTCTGAATGTGCATTAAAACAAATATTAAGCACAGAAACAAGTCCATTGTGCTCTAATGACACAAAAGTAACCATCACTGACAGAGAACCAGAGCCAGCCAAGAACATGACTTTAGCTTCTCCTTACCCTGAAATCAGTGGTGATTGGAAAGATCTGTTAGTCCGGTTAAACACTCTAAAGAATCACAAAGTTCGTATAAGAGAAAGAAGATGCTATATAATACTAGCAAGCTACCAGTTCAGTGATCTGAGTGTGGGAAAATATTACGCCTGAAAGACATTCTGAAGAGACGTGAGAATTCACATGGGAGAAGCCATTTGGTTGCTCAGTTTGTGACCAAAAACATAGACATAAAAACCAAAGTGAATCTCCCTTTGAACAAGAAAAAGCAACGGCTGATTTCTTATCGTTTAGTTGATATCACGAGCTAATGTGAGTTCACATTTCATCCTGATGCTTTTGAAGAATCTTTGTTAATAAAGTGAACTCTTTTTGAAAAGGAAGGACTCGCTGTGTTGAAACTTCTTCCTGCTGTGTCCCACAATCTGTTCAGCTGGGATCCGGGTCAGACCCGAAACACCAACACTATCTTACATTGCTGTTGGCGGCCCGCACTGTAGCTCCTGGTGCACCACCACTTATTGCTATTTAGCTAATAAACCGTAGCTATTATTTAACCCCCTGTGGTCAGACAGTGCGGACCTGTGTCTACGTTCAGGCAGTGAGGGGAATTATAAAAAGATTGTTGTCGTGTTTATTTAAGCAGACCCGGCAGCAGCTCCAAACAACTGTGACAACTTAACAGTTCAGTTAAAAGGTTAAAAACTGTTTATTTTGTCAGTAAAGTTTGATAGAGCTGGCGAGGCTATGCAAAGTAATAGCAATTACATTTAAACAGGAAGTACCAAGACATGTGGAAATCTGCTTGAAATTATTTATTTATTAATTACCTATTTTTGCCGTTGATTTCCATCCAGTGCTTATGTATAATTATCAATGTATTTAATATCAGTTATTATAGTATCATATGCCAAATAAACACATTTTATAATAACATAAAGGGTCACCCTTACCTTATTTATTTATTTAACAATCTTTGCTCTTTGTTCTTATGAATAATGATGAGTTACATTTTCAAAATATGCCAAAATAAAGGTAGTACTAACCCATTTCACACATCTATATTCTGTGTTATGATGTTATGTTAATCTGGCAGTGAATCATTATTACATCAGATACCGCAGCAGGAGGTGTGTTTGTTTCTTAGAACCTAATATAAATATAGACTAAAATGATATAAAAACTATCCATACACACTCCCAACTAAATATATAAACATGGCTATAGACAGAAAAACAAATACATGTGATCAATACATAAACACTGAAAATACATTTTAAATTTGAATAATAAAACTAAATTAAATTAAATTATAATAAAATATATGTATAAAAAGAGAAATGTAATATTTAAAAAAAAACCTAAAAGAATATATAAATATTCAAAATAAATGTATAAACACTACAACTAAGCTAATCAATATGTTAAATATGAACAATTCAACAAAATATATATATTAAAAAATAAAAAATAGATATGAAACATATATAGACAAAACAAAGAAAACAGTAAAAATATTATTATATTAAAGGGCCCATGTCATGGCCATTTCCACTGATCATAATTACATTGTTGAGGTATACTAAAATAGATTTATACTGTGCAATTTTCCAAACTCACATTGGTTTCGCATACAGCATCTCTGTCAAGCATGTGTATTCAGCAGTATTCACTTTCTCCACTAAACGACTCGTTGGAGCTCTTGCCCCCCCCTCCCTGTGAGCCTAGTGTGCTCCGATTGGTCAGCTCGGCCACTCGTTCTGATTAGTCAACCACCAGAGAGGCTGCGCCCATGTCAGTGCTTTTCCCGGCTGCTCTCAGCGTAACATCAGTCTTATCATGGCGTCGGTACAGCGGTATATTTTATATACATATATATTTTTAACTGTTGTTATAGAAGAGTGTGACGGCCCCAGGGCCTTTGTCTTACGATGGGGTGGAGCTGAAGAAGCTAATCAGCACGATCACGGACACCTCCGGACACTACGGCCCCAGTCTCTCTCCAAAGCGGCTGCAGGAAGACTAACTCTGCGATCCTCTCAACCACCTATCTTTGCATTTACCACAATAAATGTGCCGTGGTTTTGTAAACTCGTGTATGTCTCCTTGTCTTTCCGTTGTGGCCTACGAGCTACTCTCATAACAAAGAGTAAGTTATTTTTACCCGTTATAAACTACTACTGTTTGATGAGAAATCAAATCATGGTTTGCTATATATGAATTCAGGGAAGAAAGGATAGGCCTACTAAGTATTTCCATTAAACTTTATTTTTAGAAATGTACAAAATGAACATAAATATACATATATACACGGTATATCATCCATTCCTCCTCCTCGCATCTTGCCTGCGCACAGTCGGTGCGGTGCGGTGCCTTTTAGCACGAGGCCTCAGTAGTAGTAGAATCCCTTCCCCGTCATGGATTGTCCGCCAGGATCTGGCTGGACGAAATCAAATGCAAATCACAAAATATTAGAGAAACTTAGTTGTTTTAGATTCGTTAGTAGTAGTTGTGTAATGAACAGCTTGCCTGCTAATATGCTAACCTAGCTTTGTTTACCTTGGTACGATATGAACGTTAGCTTGGAGGAAAGGCAACTATAATGCAGTGTTGTAGTGATCACTGATTCATACACTGGGGTTACATAATTCAATCCGGGAACTACAGGTTGGGGGTATTGTTTCCGCCCGGACATATATGTTGACGGTACCTCCGGGGTACCTACTGTGTGTCCTCCTCTTTCACTTTCTCTTCTGTTCTCGTGCTGCGACACGACAGCATGTACATTTCTGCTGCTCAGTAAAGTACAGATTTGCACCTTCGATGCACCGCTTCCGACTCCCTTCTCTCGGCACTACATTGGTGACCCTGACATAAGTCTCGCGAAGGATCCGAGACTAAATCGAACACGGCAGAAAGCGCAGCTTTTCTCGGAATGCCGGGGATTCTTGGAGACGTCCGTTGCTGCCACGTGCGCACGGACTGAGGCTCGGTGCGCCCCACGGAATGGCTGGGAACGTCGCTCACCATTCCCGTTTCGTCTCGGCGCTGGAGGGCGGCAAGCCTTCCTGCTACGAGGAGACGATGCACGACCTGCTAGGTATGGAGGAACCCGACTTCTACCTCGTGGGGCTGTTTCTTCGGGACATGCGGCTGCATGTCTAGGCTGCGCTAGCTAACACGGCTAGTGTTGAGCCCCACGCTTTGGCCGAAGAAGCTTGCCGGTTCTTCCTGGCCGCCCGGCGATTTACCCCAGAGGTGCTTGCCACTGCACGCTGCAGCACCTTCCCTGGTGGGGGCACGCCGCCTAGCAGAGGCTCCGGGGCCGACGACGACGACAGCGACTACCGGCCGTCGAGAGCGGCTAGCCTCAACTGCTAACGACGGCTAGCTGCTACCAGCGGCTAGCGACGACTGCTAGCAACGGCTGACGATGTCTAGCAGCTACCGGCGGCTATCGACATCCGACTGTTTTTTTTTTGTTTTTGTTTTTTGTGGTGCCGGAGAGGAGGTTCGATCAAGTCTGGTCGGCCTCGCGTGGATCCTCTTGCTATTTCGCCCACCTGTTTTTGATCGTGGACGGGACGACCATTTTTGAGCTTTTTCTGGTGTCTGAGAGGAGGTTCGACCATGTCTGGTCGGCCTCGTGTGGACCCTCTCGCTGTTTTCACCACCTCGACGGCGGTTTCGGACGTCACACAGTGGCGCGCTTCTGGACCCCGTCTCGCCTCTTCCCTCGCCTCGGCGGTTCCGGACGTCGCCCATGCCTTCATCGGCCCGTGGGTGGCGCGCTTCGGGACCCTGCCTGGCCTCACCTCTACCCGCGGCTCACGGTTCGCCTCGACGGCGCCCCGTCTGGCCTCTCCCCTGTCCACGGCTCCCTCCTCCCGGGGACACGGCTCCTTCCTCCCGAGGACTTCGTGCCCGCCGCCGCTGTGCCTTCGCCAGCGGCCGGGCGGCGCTCCTCCCTGCTGGGGACCTCCGGGTGTTTCGCGCCTGTCCCCACGACGCGACCCTGCTTTCTGCGGCCCCCTGACGACGGCCCGTTCCGGCCCGCCCTCCGGTGGGGATGCCCTCGCCTTCGTTGGGGCCCCTACCCTCTCCTGCGGCCCCCTTCCGACGGCCCGTTCCATGGCCCGCCCTCCTCGGCCCCTGTGGTGCTTCCTCCCGACGCGAGGATTGTGTCCATGGTTGAATTCTGGGGGGGCTTGTGTAGTGATCACTGATTCATACACTGGGGTTACATAATTCAATCCGGGAACTACAGGTTGGGGGTATTGTTTCCGCCCGGACATATATGTTGACGGTACCTCCGGGGTACCTACTGTGTGTCCTCCTCTTTCACTTTCTCTTCTGTTCTCGTGCTGCGACACGACAGCATGTACATTTCTGCTGCTCAGTAAAGTACAGATTTGCACCTTCGATGCACCGCTTCCGACTCCCTTCTCTCGGCACTACAGTGTAATAAAACTACTATGAACAAAAGCTAGTGGTTCATATTAGGCTAGCAATAACGTGTTTATAATTGCAATCGTATACGGGTATTCTGCTACCATACAATGTAACTTGCATGAATACATTGTTTTGCGCTAGCATACAGCTAGCCTCGTTAGCTACATGCAGTATATGTACGGTCACAATGTACGGTAAACCGGAGTATACTGTATGAGTATTCCGTGTGTGTGACTGCAGACATTCTCCTG